AAGCACCTTCAGTTTTCACAATTGACTTCTTCTGTTGAATGTAAATTTCAACTATTTCAGAGCGATCGCGTGGCGTGTATTGGTTCATGGTAAAAATCTGCTTGGACTGACGCTTCAAACGCGGTATGTCATTAAGCGATGTGACATCTCTGTCAAAAGTCATGGCGTTGCCAGATGGGTCCGTCGAATATGGGCAACCCTGTATTAATTTAAAGCAAATCGGACTCTTACATCATATTTGTTAAGAGTTAAAATAATTCAAAATTTTGGCTTTTTGTGAGGGAGGTACTTGATGGAGTGGACGGATATTGTTCATTTTCGCACCTGACTTCAAACTAATGGAAATATTAAATTAACAAAGTTGGGGCAAAATTGGATTATCCTTTGTCTTTCTGTGCAATAAAATATTTTGATGAAAATTTTGACCTTTTGTGGGGCAGGTACCAGAAGGAGTGAACCGATATTGCCCATATCCGAACTCGATCTAAGTTTAATAATTTTATTACTATGTACCAGGTTTGGACCAAATCGGATACTTTCTTCGAGAGTTATCCCGCGCACCAGCCAGCCAGATAGACAGACAGACGGACGGACATCGCTAGATTGACTTTAAACGTCCTGAAAAGTATTTGGTCCAAAGAGACCTAGGATCAAACCTATTTATTTCGATGAGGCACGGTTTGGCGTATCAAATATTATATATCCTCTCTAGCCATATGGCTGAGGGTATAAAAATGATAGATAAAACACTAAAATTTGGTCTAATGTAATCTTTGAACTGACTATACTGCAATGTATGCTTCAAGTTTCTCCAAAATTATAAAAAATAATTCAACATTCTCTGCTTGAGTTGCCAAATACGTTTTAAAAAAAGCACCTAAATAAGTCGGGCCGAACTTTTAATACACTCCACCATTTTAAAGGAAATTGAAAAATTTCCAAAAAAAAAAAAAAAAAAAAATCCGTTGGAAAATACAGCTCAAAGGAAGACCGTTGTATGGAGGCTATACGAAGACGTGGTACTGCATACGCAATTTTTGTCATAAGCAGTAGTACCCATTACGAACTTAAAATACTAAAGTTGAAGCAATTCCGTTAAAAAATGTCGCTAAAATCATGCCAATAGCTAATATCGGTCGGGAGGGTGGGGCAGTACATTTAATGGGAGCTATGCCATATCGTCGACTTCGAAATTTGAAACAACTCCGGTGTATAATGTTTCTAAAATATCCTTAATACCGAATATAGGTATCGTTATTGGGGGGCCATACGATATAGTGGACCTATGCAGCCCATCTTCGATCTTGGCCTTCTTGTAGACAAAAGACTGGCTTTTGTAAAATTCTAGCTTCCTATCTTAATTAGTTTTGTTTCTATCGTGAATACACCAGTCGGATGGACGGGCAGGGCTTAATCGAAAATATTGTAAGAATATTAATATTTGAGAATATTAAAATTTGATGCAGGAGTTATATTTAGGACATGCTCCTAACAAAGAAATAACCCACGCCCAAATATGTACGCACGCATTGGTTCAAAATCTTGTATGAGGGCTTTGAGGGATTTATTGCATTCACCAGCTAAGACCACTGTGAGAAAAATCCTAAGATAGATATTTTTGAAAATAAGTTTGGAATAGTCAGGATCCAGTATTCTACGGGTATATTTTATTATTGCAACCAAAACGCCCCTCTCCTCGAAATGATGAGGTTTTATATATTTTACATTGAACATTTAATTCATTGTCATGATATTTGTTTGTTATTATTCCTCAATTTAATTGTTGGAGCAAATAGCGACTTTACAACAGTTCCGTTAAAAACGGTGCTTTCAAACATCAAAATGCTGAAAATCGGAGGGTCGAACTGTACGGGAGCAAATCGATAAATTGGACAGTTCTTCCGCCTGGTAACGCAAAATTTCTACCGACGTTCCGTCCTTCCGATATTTGTTTGTTATTATTCCTTATTTAATTGTTGGAGCAATAACGTCTTTACAACAGTTCCGTTAAAAATTTGCTTTAAAACATCAAAATGCTGAAAATCGGAGGGTCGAATTGTACGTGGGCATAACCTTAAATTGGACAGTTCTTTCGCCAGGTAACGCAAAATTTCTACCGACCTTCCGTCCGTCCGACCGTCCAGAATAAAATGACTTTTCAAGGATCCCCACAGAGAAGCTGCTAACTTGGCATTTCTTCCTTTGCCTAAAATCGCCAACAGCGAAATTGTCAAATTTATTCATTGACATCACTGTTTTTGGCAATTATTCGTAACCAATATCTCTTTTGGCAACTTCGGTTGAACTTCGTTTCATTTGCACTTCACAACTCTGTGGAGAGTAACATGAAATAATAACAGCATCCTTACTCACACACATATATTAGGAAGTAACATTTGTTTACTATCAAACATTTGTTTTCACCCGTACAACCAAAGAGTTTTGAAAATACTCTTTTCCAAAGTTTACAGATGCCACTATCGGCCTTTAGATTCGAATCATCATTACCATATGCCCATATTTATACAAGAGGCCTTGCTATGTAAAGGAATTCCAGAGAGAGAAAACTGGGGAGAGAGAGAATAGGGGAGAAAATTGGGGAGAAAAGCATATATTTACGTTAACATTACTGTTAATTGTGGATATGTTCTTATTATCTTTAACATCTGTAACTTCGGATGCTGTGAGAATAACATATATGGTTTCTCTTTGGAGGGAGAGAGACAGAAATCCCTGATGTTATTCTCACAGCATCCAAAGTTAAGGCTGTTAAAAATGCATTCCTTTGCATTCTAGTCTCCCCAAATAATGCAATGAGACTTCGGTTAGTGGATTTCTCTATTTTTCTCTCCCTCTCATTGCACTGTTATCTCTCGCCTCTCTGTGGTAATTATGATGATGGAGATGCTGTGTGTGTTTGGCTCTAGCATTTTGTGATTCGTTTCTTATATGCATGTTCGTGTGTGTGTGTGTGTGTGTGTGACAAACTCTCAACGCTAATGTTATAACATTTGTAGAAAAATCTCAACTACCATCCTTCTGCTCTGGGTGCGTATGAGTATTTGTGTGAGTGTGCGTTCGTTGTGTGAGTATTTCATCGTGTTTGTGTGTTTCCCACTACTATTTTTTCCTGACCAGTTTGTTGTGCTTCTTATTCGGATTTCATTTTCAATTCTCATGGGTTTCCCAACACTCATACGCCCCGCTCTCTACCACACCTCTCATTCCCCCCTCAACGCTTTGGAAAACAGACAACACCAACAGCAAATGGCAAAAAACAGAACCCAGTAACGTTCATGCGATAACACATCACACACAGAATTCAGTTATTGAGAGGAAGTCTTTGCCAGCGGTCGTGTTCCCAAGATTTTGTGCCGGGCGAGAATTGCGTTGCGTTGCGTTGCGTTCGTTTCGAAATTTCTATCAAAACTTCAAATAAAACTACGTATAATTTATATATACAGGGGAATTTATCAATGTGTGTGTGTGTAAATAGGAATGGAAAACTAGTATTTAACTAAACTGTGGCATATCCTTAGGGGAAATTAACCCCCCAGTTAATAAAAGATTTTTTTAATAAAAAAAAACTTTGCAAAGCTAATAGAAATTTTTTTGTTAAACATAACCTAATTTTAAGGAAGCCATAGCGCGTTTTTGTCGGTTTCGCTATTTAGTTCTTGGCCATTTGTGCTGATTACCAAACCGTGGTGCTGGCGGCCCTGACAACACGCTAACCAACCAGCCTGCCAACCAACCGCATTGTTGAATGACATTGTTTTAAGGCCTGTGATGATAAGACTGGATGCAGTGCCAGCAGCAAGGCCAAACAAAAGCTAATGGTAATGGTGATGGTTTACTTCTAGCTGTTGATATAAAGGATGATGAGAGCGGGTCATAATTTTACATTTTCCACAGCATGCATTTGGGCGCCAATGGGATTTTTTGTAAATAAACGAGAAATTTCGCTACAAAAAACATAAAAATTAGCTCTGGAAAATAGCAACAATAGAAAAATATTCTTCAAAGACAAAAAAATAGCTAAACATCCAAAAAAATATTTAATTTTTTTTTTAAAGTTGAAAAAAAGAAGAGAAAAATCCAAAAAAAGATTTAATTTTTTTTAAAGAATTGAAAAAAAGAAGAGAAATTTTGAAAAACCCCTAAAACACTCAAATAATATTTTCTCGTCAAAGAAAAAACTTCTTTGAAACAAAAGCAAAGAGAAAAAAAAAATTACACCGCCAAAGGTTTTGCCAATTCCAGTGAAAAGTGCACTCTAAATTTCGGAACAAAAAATAAAAAAAAAAAAACGGAAAATTGCTTTGTGGCTTTGTGATCATTTCCGGTTCGCCAAGTATAGAACACAACGCCTTTGTAAACTTTCCTGCAGGACTCTTCAAACTTGGCTTTCCCTTTTATGTTGTGTTGTGTTGTCGTGGATAATGCTTTGCCCTAACAACAATTCAAAACTGCACCCCATCCAACAAATGTTGGGAACTTTTGCTTAAGGTCCTGATGGATAATTCAAAGTACTAAAATTTCAACTCTCTCTTTCTCGCTTGCTGCTGAAACTGAACTTTACAAGCGGGTTTATCTTTCATCATAATTAAAGTTTGAAAATTTTTATTGCCAGTCAACCAACCAGTCAGGCAGGCAGTCAGCCGCAGCAGCCAGCCTGCCTTAGAGAAAGCTGAGCAACTCGTTTGTACTTTTATTTTTGTATTTTTTTGCGGGGCCATATGTAAAACTTAGCAACAAAAGTTGGCAGGAAAACATCAACAAAAACTTAGTTTTATAAAGGCACGTACAACAACAAAGAAAAACAACAACAACAAACAAATCCCCAAAAACTAAAATATTAAAAACAAAAGGATTTGAAAAAAAAAACCCACACAATTGCTTAAGGCGCCTGAAAATATGCATTAAAGTTGAACCCAAAAAAAAAAAAAAACAGCAAAAAAATTAAACCCCTAAAATCACACTCTAAATTCCTGGAATTTAAAGTTCAAATCTAAGGCAACTCCCAGACATAAAAAGGAAAAAACTACAAAAAATTCTTAAAAAATTAAAAAGGAAACACCGAAAAAAAGTGAAACAAAAACCAACCTTATTTTCATATCCTCTTCAAAAAATTCTGCTGACATTCGCCAGAGCGCCCGCCCGCCTGAAAGCAGACTCTAAAAATCCTTGGCACTTAAATAACATTAGCACCGTTATTCCACCATTGACTTGTTAAAGGTGAGTTTATCGTCGTTTTCTGTTTGTGTTTCGTCGTTCTTCACAACAACAACAAAAATTTGTTTGTTCGGCTCTAAACAAATCGTTAAATTTTTGGTAATTAAATTTTTGGCGCTCCACAACAAATAATAACGCGCCACCAAAGCACTCGCACACCAAGTACACACTCAGGACAATGGCAACAACAACAACACATCGAAAGCCATAAGAGAGAAAAACACAATGAAATGCGCTCTTAAACGGGCGGAAAAAAACGAAAAAAAAAACAGGAAAAAAAAATCCAGTGACATAGACACAAATAAAAAGGCCGTGTGTTTTTCATTGTTTTTGTAATTTATTATGAGGTGCACTGTGGGCAGAAGTAATAAATTAATTGTAAAAAAAAAAAAAACAAAAAATAAAAAGTAAAAATGTAGCTTAGTTCGAATTTTTAATGCCCTCCACCTCCTGGAAGGAAAACTGCAAAATATAAAAAAAAATCAGTTCAAAACATGTCTCTAAAATTATGAAAACACCGAATATTGGATGGTGTTGTAATATGGGGGCTATACGAAAGCTTTGGCCTGTATTCCCAAATGTCTGCCAGAGAAGACATATTCCTAACTCCAAATGCCAATTTTGTGATAAATTTTTTGGAAAATTTGTTGAAAAATACCAAATACCCAAAGGTACCTTTATATGGGGGATATACAGAGTGAGACAAAAAAAAAAACGGCAACAAAGTCAAACGCCATAATTTTTACATTTTCCCTCCACCATAGTATGGAGGGTATATTAAGTTTGTCATTCCGTTTGTAACACCTCGAAATATACATTTTAGACCCCACGAAGTATATATATTCTTGATCAGCATACAATTCTATGTCGATTTAGCGATGTCCGTCCGTCTGTGCTTCTATCCGTCTGTGGAATTCACTCTAGCTTCCGAATGAAATGATGTAGGTTGATAAAATTTTACTCTAATGTGTATTATGTCTGCAGGACTATTGGTATTGAAAATGGGCCATATAGGTCCATGTCTTCGTATAGCCCCCATATAGCTGTACCTCCCGATACTCGGTATTTTGATGATTTTAGCGACATTATTTACCGGAATTGTCTCAAATTTGGTAATTGAAGCTCGTAATGAATACTACAGCCAACGACAGAAAATTCTCTGTGCAGGTCCACGTCTTCGTATAGCCCCCATATAATGGTACCTCCCGATATTCGGTATTTTCATCATTTTAGCGATATTATTTACCGGAATTGCTTCAAGTTTGGTATTTTAAGATCTTAATGAGCACTACAGCCTATGACAGAAAAATGTCTGTGCAGGTCCACGTCTCCGTATAGCTCCTATATACCTGTACCTCCCGATACTCGATATTTTGATGATTTTATTTTGATGATATTAGCGATATTTTTTACCAGAATTGTTTCAAATTTGGTATTAGAAGATCTTAATGAGCACTACAGCCTGTGACAGAAAAATGTCTGTGCAGGTCCACGTCTTCGTAGAGCCCCCATATAACGGTACCTGATATATATTATTTATATTTTGATGATTTTAGCGACATTATTTACCGGAATTAATTCAAATTTTGTATTTTTTTTTCAAAAATATATATGTGGTTAGTTTACAATCCTGATGTGAAAAATTCAATCCAAAATGTAAAAAAATTGCGTTAAAATGCGTCTAAAATTATGAAAATACCGAATAGTGGATGGTGTAGTAATACTGGGGGCCTTTACGAAAGCTTGGGCATGTATTACCAAAATTTGTTGGAAAATGTGGAGAAAATCGGAAAAATATCAAATGCCGGAAGGTACAATTATATGGGGGATATATGAACTTTCGGTCATAGGAAGTAATACCCATTACGAATACCAAATACCGAATATCGTACAGGCATTAGGGGGCTGTACGAAAATGTTTGCCTATTGTCATTCCGTTGAACAATGTCGGTAAAATCATCAAAATAAGCAATATAGGGTGGTTCCATTAACCTGAAGGGATCCAAGTAACAAGTTTACAACAATTCCGGTGAAAAATCGTGAAAATAGCATATATGGAATTCTCTGTCATTAGAGGTAGTACCAAATTGGAAATAATGCAAGTGAAAAGTCTGATAAAAATCACAACAAATAAAAATCATAAACATATAATCTTCGCCACAACAAGCCAAAAACTAAAAAATTAAAAAAAAAAAAATCAGCCGAGCCTGGCTGTTGGATTTGAACCACAGAACTCGGTCTCAACGTTCAGAGCCATTAACCCGTCTTCCTAAAGCAGCACTATAACAAGTGTATGCATCGGAAACAATCATCGGAAGCAAGTTGTGGACAAAAATCCATTACTACAAAAAATACTTTGCTGTGAAAAAGATCTGCTAATAGAACTTGAGTCGGACTTGGAGGGTTTCTGGTGTTTTCCAGAGAACGGCCCATGTAAGCCATCATCCACACCAAATATGCCTGATGAGCCGCTTAACCAACGGTGAAACGCATCGCATAGTGGTGAGTGTGTGATAGTGTCTATCTGTCTTTCCTTTTCACTGCGAATTTCAGATCATTAAGCTCGTCTCGAAAGAAAAAGAAACACAAAACATTAAGTTCAGCCAGGCCGAACTTTTAATACACTCCAATATTGGGTAAAGATAACATTTTTATATAAAAATATCTGAATTCAAATGTTTACCACTTTCAACCGTTGTATGGGGGCATAACAAAACGGGAACCTCTATAGACAATTTTAAACCTCAAGGATTGTCATCTATCAAATCTTCTATAATACCAACTTTGAAACAATTGTGTGGGTATCTGTGACTAGGATTATCAAAATACCGAGTATCGGTGGGTATCGATAAATGTGCGCTATAGGAAAACGTGCACATAAAAATTCAATGTTCTGCCTCGGAAGCTAGGAATCATTACGAACTACAAATACCAATTTTTAGACAAATCCGTGGGAAAAATTATAAAAATATCGAATGTCGGGTGGTACCGTTATATGTGGGCTATACCAAAACATGGATCTATATATGTTATATTTTTTTGCACAGAAATAGAAAGCATAATCCCATTTTTGCTCCAACTTTGAATTTTAATATTTGCACGTGTGCTGGTCAGCTGCGAAAATGGACAGTATTGGTCCACTCCATCATGTACTTTCGGGTCAAAATTTTGAATAATTCTAACTCTCATAAAACATGATGTATGAGTTCGATTGCCTTCAAATTACACACCTCAGAATATTTCTATTAACTCAAGGTCTGGTGTGAAGTTGGAATAACTTCTCCTTTTATTACCTCCACCACAAAGGTCAATATTTTGAATAACCATGAAGCTCATAAAACGTGAAATTAATATCCGATTCTATTCAGACTTGGCACATCTGAAAATTTCTATCAACGCACGATCTGTTATAAAAACGGTAGATATCGTACCACTCCTTTTGGTACTGCCCCCCACAAAGGGTCAAACTTTAGAATAAACAAAACGATTATAAAATCCGAAAAAAGCTTCCGGTTCCCTTTGTATTTTACACATCCCATTATTTCTACCGACACTAGACCTGATGCGAAGATGGAATGTATCGGTCCTCTCCTTCTGGTATCTCCCCCACAGAGTGTCAAAATTTTGAATATGTATGAAGCTCATAAAACGTCATCTCAATATTTCCATCAACACGAGATCTGTTATAAAGATGCTAGAGATCAGACCATTTCTTGTGGTACAGCCACCATACAGAGTTCAAGATTTTGAAAAACAAAAGGCTTAAAAAAGCGAATTTTGCATCCACCTCTCTTCACATTTCACATACACAAAATTTTTTTGTGAAGATGATATATCTGCGAACCCCTTCTGGTACCTCACCCATAAAGGGTCACAATTTTCAATACTTTTATCTGTCATAACTTGAGAAACAAGTCAACGATTCTCCACAACTTCATATCTCTAATCAGTTCTCTCCACCGAGACCTGAGATGAATATGAAATTTATGATTCCGCATAAAATTGGATATAATTTCGATTTTATTGTAATTTTGCCCATAGCAGTATTATTGTCTCTATTAGAAGAAGTAAGAAAATGGAATATTTCGGTCGAATATATCGGGTAACCTGAGCACATTTTTACATTTTCCAAAAATTATCACATATCTCACATAAGGGGAAGGGTGTAACTAACCAATATAGTCCAAACCTGGCGCTTCACAATATTTATATAATTTTTTTAGGTCCGATACGGAATGTACAATATCGGTCCATTGGCCCTCCGGAATCTAGTCCATAGAGGATCAACAATTTGAATAATCATAAGAGAGGTCAAAATATATTTAAATAATTGAACACTTGCTGAGGGTATACATTTGTTGTCAAAACCGACAGATACTTTTCAGCTTGTTTTATACCAAAGATCCTCCAAGTTGGTCTCAAGCTAAATATAAAAAGAATTTAAAAATGCACTGATTTTTTTATTGATTTCTTCTTAATATTGTTATGCCCTTGGTAGTGAATGGACGTGTACCCATCATTCCGATGGGCTAAGATGATCTCACTGTGTGTGTCGGCCTGTTGTCCATGTTAATCTGTAATTACTCTACAGGTTGCAGTTATTACCCGATTATTACGAATCGTAAAGCATGGTGACAGATTACTTACCTTTAATCTCAACTGAGGATCGCGATATAAATAAGGAAAAGGATGGGCTAACAATATATTTTTACGGATTTTGACGTTATTCACATGCTACAATTATTGACCAAGTGCTAATTTAAATTTTATAATAAGTAAGAGTTCGGAAAATATTTTGTGGGCGAAATGGACCACTAATATTTAATTCAATCGGGAAAATGTTGGATTCCCAAACTCATTTTCCGACGAAATTAGAAAAAGGTCAGAGGTGGACTGTATCGGCTCACTCCTTCTCGTACCTTACCCACAAAATGTCAAACATTTGATTAGTTATAGATTTCGGATTTTTCTTTCAATTTTGCACATTCCAATATTTTTTATCA